ACCAACGATATTAAATACCCTAGTTACACCACGTGCGCTGTATGAAAAAAATGAGTCCCAATCAAGAAGTGCTTGGCCACAACTCAAGCACTTCTTGATTCACAGTCACGCGCGGACCGTTGAAAAGTCAAGTTGCCGCAGAGCTCCGTAAAATAATTCGAAATATATAATTATAGTATGTAAAGTGACGTTTTTTCGACAGGTCTCTAATCAATCCTTGTTAATTTAACGTATTAGAAGCAAATTTTGTTCTATTACTTACTATAAACTGATTTAATAGAAAATATTTGTGATATTCAAATGCACGGTCGGTTATATAGCCCTTTACTTACGTCGCGGTCCGTACATGTTATATTGCCAACAGCGCATTCAAAACTACGGGTAGAATCAACCTAATAAGGTATATATTCATCCGCATCTAGCAATAAGTCGTAAAATTTTACGAGCTTGCATTTCGAACTGTCATAACTTTTTGACGCATGCGTTTTGATTAAGACCTTATACAGTATGCAGTAAAGGTGCCTTTCAATATTTAAATAATGTCTTATATTGTTTTTGACTATGCGATCATCTTACGGAGCTCCGTTAATTGTCCAATGTACTTTTTTGATAGATTTCGAGCACGATTTTGTTCGTGTTGGCGTATCTAGGGTATTTTATATCGTTGATTAAGACTTACGAGATACACATTTGCTCTAAATTTCATAAACACACCTCAAACGCTTATTTAGATATCAACGTACAAAAATCGATATTTTTATCACTGACTAAAGATTTGATCTGTTATCCAGTTCCAGATGACCTAGAAAATTCAAAGGCATCTAGATAGATAGTTGGGTGAATACAAAGGAATAAATCAGAAAATAGTTATTTTTTATTAAATTATCATTGATTATTTTGGAATTAATTTTCTTATCAATATGTACCTATTAATAATTGAAGTGAAACTTCTTTATCGGCGTTGGAAAAAAATTTACCGCCACATTTTTTCGGTTACGCGTCACGTTTTTTGGTTACGCGCCATCTTTTTTTTAAAAGAGCACTATTTACCTCATCCGAACAATTGCTTCTTCTGTCAACTTTTAAAAAAAAAGTATCGACAGCAAATATTCGTGTTTCACACAAGGTAAGGTAAGGTAAGGTAAGGTAAGGTAAGGTAAGGTAAGGTAAGGTAAGGTAAGGTAAGGTAAGGTAAGGTAAGGTAAGGTAAGGTAAGGTAAGGTAAGGTAAGGTAAGGTAAGGTAAGAGTTTTTGAAAAATCTTAGCGCACGCCTATATATATATTTCTGGAAAGTTGCATGTAGATCATTTTTCGAAAAAAATAAGGCCATAAAGAAGTTTCACTTCTTACGTGTGTACACTAGTACACGCACACATTTTTTTTTCTGTACAGAAAGTAATGATATCCCATCAAAAACATAAATGTGAAATCTCATTCAATATGATGATATATAACTTGGTGAAAAAGTGAGATCTAAATAGGTTCCATTGAACTTGCTATTGCCAGTCCTGAAATTTATTTCAAAATGAAATATTTTATAACGACTCAAAGTATCATTTCAACTTATAACTTTGGATAACTAAAGTTTGATTCAGATAGTTTTCATATAAGAATTAAACTATAGCCTAAGGCTGCAGGTTCTTATTTTATTCTTCCAAAAATTTGGCTTGTTGTTAGAAACTCTCCATCGAACATAGTGCTCTTCTCTACATACTTTATAATAATTTGACTATATAAACTATCCAAGTTAGACCTAATGATAAATGATATTTTAGGTTATGAAATATTTCATGTTGTTATAAATAATTTTTAGGACGGACCATTGAACTTGGTTCCTATTTAGATTTCACTTCTTTTGTCGTTTAAGTCAACAACTAAGTTATTTATCATTATGTTGAACTTTGCTCTCATTTCACATTTATGGTTTAATGGGATTCTCTATTATCTGCAATACACTTATAATAGCCATGATTATATCCTCGCAACATTTTCTGATATTTTCCGGCATGGCTATCAGAGCCGTCTTAGATTATTTGGTATTTTTCTATTATTTGGTACTTTAAATCTCTTCCAAGATTTATATAGTGGTTTGTATATAAAAGTTTACTCTTAAAATCAGAGGGCTATGCTAACATGTCTAAAACTAATTTCTGGACTTAGACGTATAAAATATTCACATCTAGCGAGAACTAGGCAAAACACAACAACCAACGTCGTATAGTCCACACGGGTGTAGTCGTGGGCGAGGAGCAAATGTTATAGTACTTTCAAATTTTAATAGAAATATTATAAAATTTTTGATTACTCAATATTATCTAAAAAAGTACCTAATAATTACTTGTAAGTGTTACTATTAACGTCAGATCCTCTCGTCTACATTCCTTTACCTATTAAATTGCATGATATAAATATGCTTACTTAAGTGTAATCTATGGAGCTTAAGTCGCATGAAATACAACTTGAACGAATAAAATGAATACCTGGTTAGTTCTCCCTCGTTGATAGATATAACTGTCGGTAAAGCTTTTACTATACGAGGTGCAAATTCTTCAATATCGCTAGTTTTCTGTAACATTCAGTTATTATTTTAATGTGTCATTAACAATGTTAAGTATAGATTAATATTTAGTAGTGTCCACGCCAAACTTATATATTATACACTTCCGGAAAAATCTATCGGCTCATTTATTGTAACTAGTTTCAACAGTCTGTAGCAAAAATATAATTAGGTTAGATTAAGCAATAATATTTTTGTAAAGTACACGAAAAATATGGTTCATAAATCAGCTTCCCAATTGCGTAAAACTTTTCGCTTAATGAAACATTTATTTGTAGCTGAGGACCGTCAAAACCTTATAGGTCAAAACTAAAAATGCAAGGTGGGCCGATAGATGTGCCCGGGAGTATATATTCGGCGTGAACACTGGTTTGAACGAACATTTTCCCATCCTTACCTCATCGCTTAAAACGTCTTCTTCAGAGGCACTCGGCACATATTCGTAAGCTAAAAAAAAAGTTCATGAAATATGGTTCACTTAATAATTTACAATAACCGCTTAATTTTATAATGTGAGTTAATTAAAAGTGCCTATTAAGAGTGACGAAATGCTTAAATGAAATCTAAAAATTATAAAATGTTACCGGATACCGAATACAAAACTACAGTTTTAATTGTATTTTTTTTAAATTGCATTTATGTATGTTCAGTATGTTAACAAAATTCAAGCATCAATAGCTTCAGTCTTCATTACAACTTAGACATAATTAACTTACTCATATTGTTCACAATTGCATAAGGATCTATATCATTATGTAATATTAATGAATACATCTTATCTTGTGCAAAAAGCAACTAAAATAAAAATTACTGTGTAGCGTGTTTATTGGATTATTTATTACTTTATATAAAACCCATTTCACGAACTCCGTCAACATTAACATTAACATTAGAACGTGTCATACTACATACACGGACCTGACTACATATCTATTTAATATAAAACTATTAAGAACTTTAAGGAATTTGTGAAACCGGCTTATATTTCAATACTTTTTACTAAGTTATTTTTCTGAAAGCTACTGAGACACATCTTTCCGATTTCTTAATTTATTTAAATATTTTTCTACAGATGCATGGCAAGTGTGTTAATATTAATTGAGTTGTAAGAATAAACGCTTGTAACTTTATGATTGTACCATACATCACATGCAATCCATGCAATCATGATACTTCATTAAAGCGAGAACCATTTTGCTACCTTCTACGTTCACTACACATTCGCTGTATGCTGAGCCCAATGTGTTTGTTGCCAGACAACTATATGTTCCTGTCATTTCTGGGAACGCTTCTTTAATGCATAACTCGCAAACCCCCGATTCTTGGCGAGTAAATATTACATCTCTAGCTTTTTGAATATTTTGTTTGTTCCTGTACCATTCTATTTTGGGCCAAGGCTTTCCGGTAACTTTGCAAGACAATAATATTGTTTCACCATCCATTACAGTTGCCGAAGTTAAATGGTTGACAAATACGGGTGGTTCACCAACCAAATCCGATTGAACGTCTTCCGAAATAATAAGAGAAGCCGAGCTTGACACTGACCCAGCAAAATTTTCAGCTCTACAGGTTATAATGCCCAAAAAATCTTCTGCAATGTTTTCGATGCATAAACAAGATACATTTGATCTGTTGGTGACATAAATATTGTTCAATTTATTTTCTTTAATAAGAGATGTGACCTCTTTGGTATTAATGAACCAGACAAATGATGCATAGGGATTAGACACAACTTCAACTTCTAATAGTACTATGTCACCTAAAAGAATTTTCATGGGTTGTAGTTGTCTTATAAATGTCGGCGGTTTAATCTGGCTTTCATCAGTTAGTTTAAGTAACTTTACAGAACCTGATGATTTTGTTATTAAATTATTAGTTTGGATAACAACTTCGTATTTGCCTGTCTTCTTTTTATCAGTGTTTGAGACTTTAATCACCGATCTACCCGATTCTGTATGAATTATACAATCTTCAGTGGACTCCAAAATTTGATTGTTGCGGTACCATGTTAATATGCTATTATCATCAGCATCGAAGGTTACAGTTAGTTCGAATTCGCCATTTTCATGTACAGTCTGAGCTGTTATTGGGCTTATTATTATTGGTCCAACTTCTGTAAAATATGCATAAACAAACCTAAATGCATTTTTGTACAATTCGAAAAGACTTAAGCAATCAGTTTAGATATTTATAAAATAATGGATTATCCTCATTAATGAATGGTGGGCTATTTATTTTAAATAACTTTAATATGATTACAAATAATAGACATGATAATTCAAGATTGAGATAGATAATAATAGATATGATCCTTATATTCATAGTAAATTGAGAAATGAGTAAGAAAATTGTGGTAGACACAAATGATTATTAGATAACAATGGTTTGTTACTGTGTATGATTAATTTTGTGTCAGAAGTAATAACACAAATTGTGTTTTTCTTAACCATGCATCTGTTTAATAACTTCGCAATTGAAAATATACATATAAGCAAGTTTACTTATTAAACAAAAGTTTATTATTGTTTCGTACATTAAATATAAAACTCTACCTTTCTTTTTTTCTTGTTTCTTGGCAATCTTCTTTTGCACAATTACTTTTTTCTCCTCTTGCGGTCCGACGACAGATTTGCTTTCTTTTACTTCATCTTCTATTGTAACTTCAACTTCGTCAACCTTTTCGATAGACTTTTCTTTCACCATTTTTTTATATTTCTTTTGCTGTATCTTTTCATGTACAGTCTTTGTTTCTTCTTCTGGCTTTTCTTCCTCAACTGGTTTAGACTTTTTCATTGGTTTTAGCGGTTCTTCTTCAGGTCTCTCTTCCTCCGGTGCTTTTTGTTTCGGTATTGGCTTAAGAACAACTTCTTCCTTTGGTTTTTCTTTCTTTGGATGTCTCTTTCCAGTGGGCCATTCGGCTTCTCCTGGTTTTTCTTCCTCAACTGGTTTTGCCTTTTTCACTGGTTTCAGCTGTACCTCTTCAGGTTGTTCTTCCTCCACTGCTTTTTGTTTCGGTATTGGCTTAAGAACAACTTCTTCTTTTGGTTCTTCTTTCTTTGGACGTCTCTTTCCAGAGCGCCATTCAACTTCTTCTTGTTTTTCTTCCTCAACAGGTTTTGGTTTTTTTATTGGTTTAAGATGTACTTTTTCAGGCTTTTCATCCTCTGGTACTTTTTGCTTAGGTATTGGCTTAAGAACGATTTCTTCCTCAGGTTCTTCCTTCTTTGGACGTCTCTTTCCAGTGGGCCATTGAACTTCTTCCGGCTGTTCTGCCTCATCTAGTTTTGGTTTTTTCACTGGTTCCAGCTGCACTTCTTCAGGTCGCTCTTCCTCCACAGCTTTTTGTTTAGGTATTGGCTTAAGAATTACTTCTTCCTTCGGTTCTTCCTTCTTTGGATGCCTCTTTCCAGTAGGCCATTGGACTTCTTCCGGCTTTTCATCCTCAACCGGTTTTGGCTTTTTAATTGGTTTTAGCGGTTCTTCTTTAGGTCTCTCTTCCTCCGGAGCTTTCTGTTTAGGTATTGGCTTGAGAACGAGTTCTTCCTTCGGTTCTTCTTTCTTTGGACGTCTCTTTCCAGTAGGCCATTGGACTTCTTCCGGCTTTTCATCCTCAACCGGTTTTGGCTTTTTAATTGGTTTTAGCGGTTCTTCTTTAGGTCGCTCTTCCTCCGGAGCTTTCGGTTTAGGTATTGGCTTGAGAACGACTTCTTCCTTTGGTTCTTCCTTCTTTGGATGCCTCTTTCCAGTAGGCCATTTGAGTTCGTCTGGCTTTTCTTCCTCAACTGGTTTAGGCTTTTTCATTGGTTTTAGCAGTTTTTCTTCAGTTCTTTCTTCCTCCGGTACTTTTTGTTTCGGTATTGGCTTAAGAACAACTTCTTCCTTTAGTTCTTCTTTCTTTGGAAGTCTCTTTCCAGTGGGCCATTCGACTTTTTCTGGCTTTTCTTCCTCAACTGGTTTTGTCTTTTTCACTGGTTTCAGCTGTACCTCTTCAGGTTGTTCTTCCTCCACTGCTTTTTGTTTCGGTATTGGCTTAAGAACAACTTCTTCCTTTGGTTCTTCTTTCTTTGGACGTCTCTTTCCAGTGCGCCATTGGACTTCTTCCGGCTTTTCTTCCTCAGCTGGTTTTGGCTTTTTCATTGTTTTTAACTGTGCTTCTTCAGGCTTTTCACCCTCCGATGCTTTTTCTTTAGGTATTGGCTTAAGAACGACTTCTTCCTTCGGTTCTTCTTTCTTTGGATGCCTCTTTCCAGTAGGCCAATGGACTTTTTCCGGCTTTTCTTCCTCAACTGGTTTTGGCTTTTCCATTGGTTTTAGCGGTTCTTCTTCAGGTCGCTCTTCCTCTGGAGCTTTTTGTTTAGGTATTGGCTTGAGAACGACTTCTTCGTTTGGTTCTTCTTTCTTTGGACGTCTCTTTCCACTGGGCCATTGGACTTCCTCCGGCTGTTTTTCCTCAACTGGTATTGGGTTTTTCACTGGTTTTATCTGTACCTCTTCAGGTTGTTCTTCCTCTTGTGATTTTTGTTTCGGTATTGGCTTAAGAACAACTTCTTCCTTTGGTTCTTCTTTCTTTGGACGTCTCTTTCCAGTGCGCCATTGGACTTCTTCCGGCTTTTCATCCTCAACCGGTTTTGGCTTTTTAATTGGTTTTAGCGGTTCTTCTTTAGGTCGCTCTTCCTCCGGAGCTTTCTGTTTAGGTATTGGCTTAAGAACGACTTCTTCCTTTGGTTCTTCCTTCTTTGGATGCCTCTTTCCAGTAGGCCATTTGACTTCTTCTGGCTTTTCTTCCTCAACTGGTTTTGCTTTTTTCATTGGTTTCAGCAATTCATCTTTGTATTTCTCTTCCTCTTGTGCTTTTTGTTTTGGTGTTGACTTAAGGACAACTTCTTCCTTTGGTTCTTCTTTCTTTGGACGCCTCTTTCCAATGGGCCATTCGTGATCTTCCGGCTTTTGATCTTCAACTGGTTTTTGTTTTTTCACTGGTTTGAGCTGTACTTCTTCAGGTCGCTCTATCTCCAGCGCTTTTTGTTTAGGTATCGGTTTTAAGACTACTTCTTCTTTTGATTCCTTCTCTTTAAGACGCCTTTTTCCGGTACGCCATTGAACAGGCTGTTCATCTTGAATTGGTTTCTCTATATAGACTGGTTTTGGTTTTTCATCTGGTTTTGACTGACTTTCTTCAGGTTTCTCTTTTACAGATGCCTCTTGTTTAGGTAACAGTTTAAGAACTTCTTCATCATTAGATTCTTTGGTCTTCGGATGCCTCTTTTCGGAACGCCATGGTGCTGGCTGTTCTTCCTCTTTTGACTTTTGATATATTTCTGATTTTCCTTTCTCCACTGATTTCAACTGAACTTCTTCAGGTACCTTTTGTTCAGGTATCTTCTGCTTTGGTATTGGTTTTAGTAGTACTTCTTCATTAGGTTTTTCTTCTTTCAGTCTCCTCTTATCGGTGCGCCATTGAATTCCCTGTTCTTCTTCTACTGACTTTTCCTGGGTCGGTTTTTGTTTACTTACAGGTTTAAGCTTAACCTCTTCGGGTGCTTCTTTCTCAGGTGCCATCTGCTTGGGTATTATAGGTTTTAGGGTCGTTTCTTCTTTAGTTTCTTCTTCTTTCGAGCGCCTCTTGCCGGTACGCCATTGAACGGCCTGTTCCTCGACTGGTTTTTCTTGTTTCACTGGTTTAACTTCAACTTCTTTAGATTGTTCTTCCTCCGGCTTTTCTTTCTCAACTGGTTTTGATTGTTTTACTGGTTTTAGCTGTACCTTTTCAGGTTTCTCTTCTTCAGGTGCTTTTTGCATAGATATTGGCTTTAGAACAATGTCTTCGTTGGGTTCCTCTTTTATCGGATGCCTTTTTCCAGTGAGCCATGCGATATCTTGCGGCTTTTCATCTTGAACTGGTTTCTGTTTTTTAACTGGTTTTAGCTGTACCTCCTCAATTTTCTCTTCTTCTGGTGCTTTTGGTTTAGGCGTTGGCTTAAGAACTACTTCTTCAATAGATTCTTCTTCCTTTGGACGCCTTCTTCCAGTACGCCATTGAAGTGGCTGTTCTTCCTCGACAATTTTTTCCGGCTTGTCTGAAGACAGGTTTTTCTTCATTGGTGTCTTTGAATCGGTTTTATCCTGGTGTTCCATTTCAATATTTTCTATTTCAGATATCTTTAAAATAATAGTGTCTTCTTCTCTAGTAAGTGATTCTTCCACTACTAAAGTTTCGACTTTTTGTAAAGATTCTCTATGAACTGGTTTAAGAGACACGTCTTCAATTTTTTCTTTTACTATTTGTGTTTTTTCAACCTTTGTGGGTCGCAGTCGGATACTTTCCTGTGTCCAAGGAATACTTTCTTTGCGATCTAGTTTTGAAAGTATCTCATCTGTTCTTTCTTTTTTCTGTTGTTTTATTTCTTCATTTTGGCATATTTCTGTGGGTTCTTGTGCTTTTGCATCATCAGTTATTTTACTGAGATATGGCATATCTTGTTTCCGAGGCTTTCTCCAGGATTTTACTTCTAAATTTTCATGTTTGGCCTTTTCTACTGTTGTTTCTTTGTTTTGCATGTGTAACATCGAAGAGTCCTCAGTTAATGTTGTTTTTTCTACATGCTCTGTTTTAGGTTTTCGCCAATGTTTTGTTGGCAAATCGTCTTCAACTTTGGTTGTTTTTTCTATTTCAGTTGATTCTTTCGTATCAATTGACAGAATGTTGGAATCTTCTGAAGTGGTTATTTCTTGAACAGATTCAACTTCATCTCGACGAGGCTTCCGCCAAGATTTAACTTCTAATTTTTCCTCTTTCACAACTTGAACTGTTTCTACTTGATTCTTCTTTCGCCACGGTACATCTCTGGCTGATTTATTGGTTTCGACATCTTGAGCATTTTCTATTTTTAAGATACTTGATTCTTCTGTCGACTGATATAAAGCTCTACTGGCAGTGATCTCTCCTTTCTCTGATGTTGCTGAAGTTATTTCTGTCTTATCTTGAAACTTCTTTTGGGATACAATTTTGCGTGTTTCTGTAAATATAGAAAAGTATTCATAAACATTATGTTCAATGGATTTAACGTATATAATTATACCTTATATTGCAAATGCTCTAGATTGTAAATATAATGTCACTATAACAAAATCACTTAAACATATCCCTACACGCTTACAAAGTTTAACTTTGGTGATGATATCCATACTAATATTATAAATGAGCAAGTGTATCTGTCTGTCTATCTGTTTACTTTTCACGCTTTAACCACTGAACCGATTTAGAAAAACATGGTATGGAGATAGAGTGAGTCCCGGGATAGAACATACGATGATTTTCATTCTGGAAATCACCCTTTAGGTCTAGTTTACTAGGTGGAAGTTTGTATTTGTAACCAATATTGCACGCAGTCGAAGTCGCGGGCACCCACTATTATGTTATAAAAAAATAGCGGTTTAAGTGTAAAGCGGTAATAGACAGACAGACTCGCTTTCGCATTTATAATATTGGTATTGTAAACATTAGCAAGCACTTATATGAAAAAGTACTGTTTTTGGATGAGTTCATATCAGGCGAATACATATACTTCGTTCCATTCTGTAAGAAAGCAGGAGTGTGAAACTAATCGCATATATATTGGACATCACTTTTTCACTAAGGTATTCCATTTTCACCAATCTATTCAAAACAAGTACGCCAATACTCGTATTTAATTCATAGTGATAGTGACCAAACTAAGTAGCTTGTTCCATAACATACAGTGCCAGCACGCATAAGGACTAATCGTAGATAGAACGGAATCAAGAGCGTCGAACTCAAGATTCCAATCTATACGCGGGCAATTGCATGCTTGCCATTTAGAATATTTGACCTGTATTTTATAGCGTGTTTATTACTCTTAATAATATTCTCTATTGTGATATGCCATTGTTTTGATTAGATGGTTTATTTTTTTCTGCATAAGTAATATATAAGTAAGTAAGTAATATAATAAGTTACAAAGAAGTGGTAAATATATTTGAATACTCAATTCAAACGTTAAAAAAACGGCCAAGTGCGAGTCGGACTCGCGCACCGAGGGTTCTGTACATACCTGTAGGTATATTTTAATAATTATTAAAAAATATTTTTTAGTTTTCGCAAGTTTTCCTTTCTCTGTACTATAAGACGTTACTTCGTACCAAATTTCAAGATTCTAAGTTCACGGGAAGTAGCCTGTAGGTTATGATTCCCGTGCGAGCTTCGAAAATTTGCGGCATATACGGCTGTAGCTTTTGCTTTGGCTTAGAAGTTTGATTTTTTCACAGCTCCAAGGGACAGTAGACCAGAGCATCAGATATGAATTTCAGTTTGATACCTCCACGAGTTCCTGAGAAAAACGGCCTTGACAGACGGACGGACGGTCGGACAAAAAGTGATCCTAAAGGGTTCCGTTTTTTCCTTTTGAGGTACGGAACCCTAAAAATTAACTACGACAGTTTAGAATAGTTCTTACTTAGTCAGTGTGGTAAATAAAAACAAGAACTTTTTAAATCAGCGTAAAAATTACTTCGATCATCAAATGCAAGTTGAGCGAACATCGTCAAATTACATCATGAAATTATATTCTTTTTCTAGTTTCTCATAGTCTAAGATCCGAGCCTACATCGACCTTCACTGAGCTGATAATATATTTTATCATGAATAAAAAGTATATGAGAAAATATATTAAAAATGGTTTGCCTGAAAAAATCCCGGACAGACTATTTAAAAAAAAAATGTTGCAACATCAAGATAATAAGAAAATGTTGTCCAGACTTATAAAACGTATAAGTCTGGACAACATTTTCGTATAAAACGTATAAAATGTGCAGCCGTTGGGGTTTTTATTGTTTACCTGAGCGAACTACTGGATTGCCAGGTATAAACAGATATATCGATGCCAATTACGTTACCCAATGGCTGCACTTTCTATAAGTTTTATACTTTAAGCCAGGACAACATTTTCTTAATATCTTGATGTTGCAATATTTAATTTAAAATATTTTTTTATTAATTAAAAAATATAGTTTGTCCAGGCAACCCATTATTAATACACACATCAAAAGTGTCTAGGGATCAACATATATTTTTGCAATAACTTTTCTCCTGATTGATATTAATTAAAATTTTCTTTAAGGGTTCATCAAATAAAGTGTTTTCGTTTGTCACAGTAACGATAAACCAAGTCACCTTTGCATTAATAAAGAAATTTGCCATTTTCCTAATAAAGGGATTTTTGACATTTGAACCACTAACACAAAAGTTCGAAAAAAAGACTGAAATAACAGTTTTCTCTAAAATTTTATTGGGTAACTTAAACAATTAATAATCCGTATTTCTACCGCGAACACTAACAACACAAGAACATCGGTTTGGCATACTCAAAATGAGTTCATCCAAATCACGCTGTGGAATGGCCGCCCATGTTTGTTGCAACAACAAAAAAAGGTCTTCTTGCGACTGGATACCCTCCATATTCGGCAGAGCTCTTCTCTGTAGCATATCCCATGCATGCTCAATCGGGTTCAAGTCTGGCGACTGAGCAGGCCAGGGCAGGACATTGATGTTAGCTGCGGCGAGAGTCTGTCTTACAACTCTTGCGGTGTGCGGTCGTGCATTATCATGCATTAACTGAAATAAGGGACCGATTTGCACTTGTAGAGGAACGATGACGTCTGATACAATCGTCTCAGCATAAATTTGAGCGTTGAGGTTGCCTCTGATCCAAATCAACTCAGTTCTTCTGCCGATCCAAATACCCGCCCATACCATGATGGTTCCACCACTATAAGGATGGACTTCCTGGCAGGATTTTAATCGCTGTTGGCGTCCAGGGGTTCTCCAGTGTCGTATACGTCTTGTATCCGGTCTCATACCAAAACGAGACTCATCAGAAAAGCACACGAAACGCCATTGTTCTTCTGCCCAATTTCTGTGTTCAAGAGCCCATTGATATCGAATCCTACGATTGTGCATTGCTATAGGTGGTACCCGTAGCGGTCTTCGGGAATGAAGGTTCACTTCATGCAAGCGGTTTCTGACTGTTTGGTCGCTAATTAAGTTCCCTGAAGAGTGATGAAGCCTCACGGCTAACATCATGGCGGTTATTGTTGGAGCTCTTCGAGTTAAGATTTGAATGTATCGGTCTTGTCTCCGTGTGGTGCAGCGATACCGTCCTCCATGGCGCTCAGCCACGGTACCAGTGCTTCGGTATCGTGTCCAAAGTCGACTGATAACACTCTGACTTGTATTCAGAGCTAAAGCCACAGTACGTTGCCGGGAACCAGCTTCTATCATTCCCACGGCTCTGAGCATTTCTTCCCTGCTTAAATGACGTCGCCGCTCCATAATAACGTTGGTTTTAATCAGTAGTAGGGAAACAGTAGCACTAATAATGTCTTCAATGCGTTGTATGTTTTTATAGGGAAAATATTGACAGCTGATTTTCATCTTTTACTCGAATTTGATTCACAGTTCCTGATTCAAATTATGAAATGCACCAAAAAGGATCCATATAAATTTATAAAATCATAAATTTATTACAAAGCCACATCTCAATCTCAAGAAATCCGCATAAAAATGCTTGATCCCTAGACACTTTTGATGTGTGTATATTTTCTAATATACTAAATTCATAAAAAAATATGTTTCATTCTATTTATCAGCTCGGATAAGGTCGATGTATGTTCAGATCTTCTCTATCATATACGAATTGGATTGACATTCTACATTCCTTCACCAGATTTTCGTAAAAAAATAACACACCAGCACTCTTCTTTCACAAGAGCTGTTGTACTTTGCATCCAATTTAAATAAAGACATTTTTATTGTGGTTTTGATTTTGATTAAGAATACAGTAATAAGAATATTTTGATTAAGGAGGTACTGACCTCACAACCCAACTGAGTAAGATCTGATGCGAATATTGATATAAAATTCTAACTGCAAAAACATATTACCCTGTTACATACGTGCACAACCAACATCGGTACTTATTATCGGTCTACTTTCCTTGTTCTTTAAAAAAGGTATAGTAAATACACGTCAGTACAAATTAATACTATTCGACCCTCACCTTCAGCAAAAAGAATCAGAAAAAGGAAACACGACCTTGAATTTAACATTCCGCAAATATGAATATTGTTCGCTAATTTATACTTTTTAAATAAAAATGAAATTTAATAGTAAATTTTGTTGATTTAATACTACATTCACACTTTACACTAATAAAGTCCAAATATCATTTCATAATAATGTTCAAAAACGATTTCACTAAATAATATATTTTGTACTCTTGTCAGGCGTAAGTGTTTCAGTTTAGCGAGTAAGTATTTGTAACTCCATATCAAAATTTCTTTGAAATCTAAGCAGTACCCCTACCGTACGTAAGAACAAACTAGGTCTCTCCATAGAAACTTTGATAATGGCCATTCGAATCCTTTTTGCTAGTTGTTCGTGATTGGGGTACAGGATGCACGCATTCACGTTACGAACTGGAGGCCTTACTGTATTTCAACGAAAAACGAAATTTCGCACGTTCCTTACTCTGTTTCTATTTCATATCGAAAATTCGTTCGTCCGAAAATAGTTTGACATTTAAATTCTCCAAGCTTACTCTAATTCACAAAACTTTCGAACTAAAAGTTGAATTTGACAGATAATTGTTCGAAATTTTAACCTCCAATTGACGAAATGGAAAGCGTTACCTTTTCATTATCGTTTCGGGGTTTTTGTTTAAATTAAATCTAAAATTACAACTAGAGTATTTTTAATTAAGGCTGCTTAGCGTGAGGAACATTATTTAGTATGAAAAATTTACAAATAAATCAAATTTTTGTTTATTATTGTATTGCCAATACTTCAAAGTGTTACACGACAAATTTAGGTTGACATACATTCGATTGCATAAACTCTTCAAATTAGTCGGCTAACACTGTCAAAAAAGGTTGTTTTAATGTAATCAAAATTTTTGTCATAAAGTAATATTGTTTTGAAGTAAAAACCGTTATCTAAAAA